GTCACTCCAGAAAGATCTGGCAGACACTGGAGTTGTGGTACACTATTCCACTATAAAGAGATACTTGTACAAATATGGTCTTCATGGAAGAGTCATCAGAAGAAAACCTCTTCTACGTCCTCACCACAAAAATCATCGTTTGAACTTTGCAAATGAACATATAGACAAGCCTGATGCATTTTGGAAACAAGTTCTGTGGACCGATGAGGTTAAAATTCAACTTTTTGGCCAGAATGAGCAAAGGTACGTTTGGAGAAGAAGGGGCACAGAATTTAATGAAAAGAACCTCTGTCCAACTGTTAAGCATGGGGTTGGATCAATCATGCTTTGGGGTTGTGTTGCAGCCAGTGGCACAGGGAACATCTCACGAGTAGAAGGAAAAATGGATTCAATAAATTTCAGCAAATTTTGGATGGTAACTTGATGCCATCTGTGAAAAAGCTGAAGTTAAAGAGAGGATGGTTTCTACAAATGGATAATGATCCTAAACACACCTCGAAATCCACGGAGGATTACATCAAGAGGCGTAAACTGAAGGTTTTGCCATGGCCTTCACAATCTCCTGACCTCAACATAATTGAAAATCTATGGATAGACCTTAAAAGAGCAGTGCGTGACAGACAGCCCAGAAATCTCAAAGAACTGGAAGACTTTTGTAAGGAAGAATGGGCAAAGATACCTCAAACAAGAATTGAAAGACTCTTGGCTGGCTACAAAAAGCGTTTACAAGCTGTGATACTTGCCAAAGGGGGCAGTACAAGATATTAACTCTGCAGGGTGCCCAAACTTTTGCAGACACCATTTTTTTGTTTTCTGTTATTTTGAAAGTGTAAATGATGGAAATAAAATCTAACTTTTGTTGACATATTATAAGAATGTCTAATCTGTAATTTGATCCCTTTTGGAGATTTTTCCATCTTTCCTTGGCTTCTTTATGCACATTAATACAAATTTTTAGCTGGGGTGCCCAAACTTTCGATCCCCACTGTAAGGCTGTTTTAAGAAAGTTCGTAGTTTGAATGATTGTGACATTGATGCCGAAAATTCTAATTTTGTCAGGTAGGCTGCTTGTTGCGTGCTTGACATACCATATATCTGGAATCAGAAGCAGAGATCACTTATAAAAGTGGTTCCTGCTCAGGTGCTATGGAAGTATCATCACTCTGAGGCTGAGTGCTGCTTCAGCAGAGTGAATTCTCACCTAGGGTTTAGCTGTGGCTCCCTTTCAACTGATTTCCGCCTTAGCTACAGGTGAGGGCATTCTCCTGTGGAGTACTTATGAAGGTGTAGAATATAGCTAACTCTGAATAAATACCCATCAAATGCTGTAGGTGCTGTTAGTGAGTGTTGTGATGTCTATGGAGGCTTTGGAGAAGCTTTGAAGCACCAAGAAAACAACAAGGGATCTAATTTTTGAAGCAAAGCAAAGGGATATAATTTTTTAAGCAAAGCAAACACAACAGTGTGAACAGGGCTATAGGGTAACCATTTAATAAAAGACCACATAGATGAGTTCTTGCTGGAAAAAAATATTTTAAGCAACAGACGGCATGGATTCTTGAAACACAGAAGTTGTGAAACAAATCTGATTTCCTTTTCTGAGGAAGTGAACAAAACCTTGGACAGAGGGGTGGTAGTGGACGTGGTATACTTGTATTTTGCAAAAGCGTTTGACTCAGTTCCCCATACATGGCTAATGTGTAAGGTAAAGTATACAGGCTTAGAAAAATCTGTATGTAAATGGATAGAAAACTGGCTGAAGATCGTATTCAGAGAGTAGTGGCTAATGACTTATACTCTGAATGGTCTAGGGTTGTTAGTGGTGTAGCCCAAGGTTCAGTGTTGGGACCCTTACTTTTTAATATATTTATAAACGATGTAGGGTCTGGGATTAAAAATACCATTTCAGTCTCTACAGATGACACCAAGCTGTGCAGTGGAATAACGTCCTTACAGGATGCCTTCAACTTACAAGCTGACCTCAATGCACTGTTTAATTGGGCAACTATGTGGCAAATGAGGTTTAATGTTGATAACTGTAAAGCTATGAACTTGGGGGCCAAGAATATGTATGCATCATACATACTGAGGGGGGTACAACTGGGGGAATCAATGGTGAAGTATCTGGGAGTTCTAGTAGATCACAAGCCTAATAATGGCATGCAATCCCAAGCTGTGGGTTCTAAAGTGAGCAAAATCCTCTCTTGTATTAAAAGAGGTATAGACTCCAGAGAGAGAGATATCATATTACCCCTGTACAAATCATTAGTAAGACCTCATCTGGAATAAGCAGTTCAATTTTGGGCACCAATTCACAAAAAGAACATTGGGGAATTGGAGAAAGTACAGAGAAGGGCAACCAAACCAAAAGAGCCATGGAGGAGCTCAGCTATGAGGGAAGATTAGAGGAACTGAATTTATTCTCTCTTGAGAAGAGGAGATTAAGGGGGGATATGATCAACATGTATAAATACATCAGTGGTTCATACAGTGAACTTGGTGTTGTTATTCACCCTGAGGTCATCACAGAGGACAAGGGGGCAGTCTTTACTTCTGGAGGAAAATACATTTAATCTCCAAACACAGAAAGGTTTCTTCACAGTAATAGCTGTGAAAATGTGGAATAGAGTTGGTTCTGGCCAGCTCAGTGGATTGCTTTAAAAAAGGCCTGGATACTTTCTTGGATACACAGAATATAACTGGGTACTAACATTTATAGGTAAGGTTGATCCAGGGAATATCCGATTGAATCTTGGAGAATCAGGAAGGAATTTTTCCCTCCGCAGGAGCAAATTGGATCATGCTTTTTGCCTTCCTCTAGATCAACTGTGGGTTTAGGATTATAACTTTTTTTTTTTTAATGGTTGAACTGGATGGACATTTGCCTTTTTTCAGCCAGACTAAGCTATGTAACCTGTTCACAGCTCCTAAACCAAAAGGTGACACCCACCTTTTCTTGGATCTCAAGTCTCTAAATGACATCATTTGGTCCCAAAAAGTGTGTATGGAATCCTCCAGGTCTGTCATAGCTTATTTACATAAGGAAGACTTTCTAGCCTCTGGATTTTAAGGATGCATACTTGCAAGTTCCCATTTTTCCAGTGCATGAGTGATTCCTCCGCTATGCTGAGATTCTCCAGTTCCAGTTTGTGGCCCGGCCATTCCCCCCTATCTTCTGCACCTCATGTGTTCACCAAGCTGCTGGCCCCGGTGCTAGACCTGCTGCACTCCCAGGAAGACTCCCTCAACAAGTAGTTCTGGCCAGCTCAATAAATTGTTTTAAAAAAAGCTGGATGCATTCCTCAATACACAAAATGTCAGTAGATACTGACATTTATAGGTAATAACACCAGGGGTAGTTGATTTGGGGAATATCCAATTGCCTCTTGGGGGATCAGGAAGGAATATTTTTCCCCTGCTGAAGAAAATTGGAACATGCATTATTTTGTTTTTTTTGCATCTTCAGCATCAGCTGTGGAATAGAATATATTGAGGTTTTCTTTTTTTTCTATTGGTTGAACTAGATGGACGTGTGCCTTTTTTTCAACCTAATTATGTAACTATACCTGGCTGGCCACAATTTTTTGTTTGCCAGTGTCGAAATCTTCCTATAGGTGACAGTGTGACATTATAGTCTCTGAAATACTGTGTCAATCAATGAACTCCAAGACATGGATTTTATAGTCCAACACCCCACATTAGCAATCCAGCATGAAAGTCTTGTATATATATAGTTTCTTCCTCTAGCAGCTGAGTGCAAATCTTCACAAAGGAAATGTATACTGAAAAACAAAACAAAGACGAAGGACATCTAAGTATCAGTAGGTGAATAGAAAAACTAAAATAAATGTAGGCATCTCACCTTGGCAAGTAGCCATGAAAGCACCAATTTGTGTTCGGGCTGACAAACTTACATAGATAGAACCCATAGTCAATTTCCAGGTCTTCAACAACACATCCCAAGGTTGGGTGTACCACACACAACAACAATGCTGTTGGATAATGGGAGTCCACATGGTGCAAAGGAGGTGGATCACAAAAATGTTAGATAGACAAAAGTCCCCAATGTATTAAAATCAGTGAAACTCAACATGTTTCAGAGCATACCTCTAATACTTTTAGATGCGCACCGCCTTTGTTTTATTTTGTTTCATGGAATTTACAAGGAGTTCAAAAATTCCTTTTTTTATAGCATACAAGACAATCCCTTTAATTAATTCAATCTAACATTTAGGCCCCTTTCCCATGGACGATGCGATCAGGTCCGCCTGTCAGATTTTTAGGTGGACCTGATCGGAAGGTCTATGCCAGCCTTTCTCAAGCTTTTCAACACAGAGAAACCCTTCAAATACCTTTCCAGGCTTGGGGAACCCCTGCTAAAAATTACTATATCTACAACTCATGATACATTAATAAGATAGTGGGAAGAATGCTCCTTACACTTGTGAAGAATGGGAAGAAAAAAAAAAAAAACCTTTACAGATAGCTAAAATGATAAATAGTTTCAGTGAAAACTTGAGAGGTAGAAATAGCCCATTGCTCAAGGAACCCCAAGCAACTGGAGGAACCCTAGGGTTCCATGAACCCATGGTTGAGAAACCCTGGTCTATGCATTCCTATGCACAGGACTTGTTTCTGTGTACACCCACCTACCTCTGGGTCTGATCCGGTCCTCTAAAAAAAAAAAAAAAAGAAAAAAAAAGGGGATCTGCCCTCTTCCATTTAAGTGGATTGAATTGGAAAGGTACAGTAGTTGGGTGTAAATGGACAATAGAGTCTGTTTACTACCAGCTGCCCAAAAAGCACAATCAGCTCTGTCCGTGTCTGCTCTGAAAAAAATGAGTGGACACGGATGTGTCATCCGCCTGTTCTACTCTGATCAGCAGGGGATCTGTGAGCAGATCCCCTGCTGACAGAAACAGAATCAGCCCCATGTGAAAGGGGCCTAAGGTTGAGAGTGTAAACATCTTATAGCTACAATTAGTTTTAAAAAAACATACCCAATTCTTGCCAAAATTCCGTGTTTTCCAGATAAAGTAACAACATCAAATCCTATTCTCCTGCCTCCTTGTCTAACCTCTTCTGTGTAAAAGCCATCATCAATGGGGGTACCAGATGACTTTAAAGCTTCTGAGGCTTTATGGATTAAGGTGGTTTTTCCAATTCCTTCAAAAATAAAATAAATACAAATATTTATGTATACTGTGAGGTTATAATATCTAAGCATCTACACACACACAAAATCAATCACAACTAACACAACACTAGCTGTTAAGTGTTACACTTAAGCAAAGCTTCATAGCTGTGGCATTTGTACACCCCTGGCTGCTGCCTCTGAGAGCTAAATGGGGTAGTGGTTGTGGAGCAGTAAAACTGTAGCTCATGTTTGAACGATTCCTAATAGTTCAGCCAGTCACAGTTATCCAATCACCACCACACCAGCCACAGTGCAGCCAGACCAGTGTAACTAGAATCAGTGTTCCCGATTGCCATCACACCAAACTAGTGCAGCAAGCAACAGTTTTCTGATCACTGCCACACCAGTCCCAGTGTCAGCAGACCAAAGTATGCCAGCAACAGAATTCCTTATCACCGCCACACCAGTCGCAGTGTCACCACACCAGTGTAAGCCAACAATGGTGTCCTTGATTTTCACCACACCAGACCTAGTGTCACCAGACTAGCGTAGGTCAGCAGCAGTGTTTCTGATTGCTACGACAGTAGTCTTCCACTGTCCCCAGACCAGTGTAAGCTAACAACAGTGTTCCTGATTGCTGTGACACAAGTCCCACTGTCACCACTCCAGTGCAGCCAGCAGCAGTATTCCTGATCACTGTAGCACTAGTACAGTATTGTCTCTGCCTGCACTACCCCTGGCCTGTTTATTGACCACGTTTCTGTCTGCTGCCTGTACCAATCCTTTGCCTGTTTGCTGACAATGGCTCTGCCTACTGCCTGAACTGACCCATCTGCACATCCAACTACAGTGAAGGAAATCAGTATTTGATCCCCTGCTGATTTTGAATGTTTTCCCACTCACAAAGAAATGATCAGTCTAAAAAATCGAATGGTAGGTGTATTATAACACTGAGAGACAGAATAGCAACAAAAAATTCAAAAGAAATGCATGTATAACAAATTATGCACTGATTTGCATGTTCATGAGGGAAATAAGTATTTGATCCCCTTCACAAAACATGACTTAGTACTTGGTGGCAAATCCCTTGTTGGCAATCACAGAGGTCAAACATTTCCTGTAGTTGGCCACCAGGTTTGCACACATCTCAAGAGGGATTTTGGCCCACTCCTCTTGGCAGATCCTCTCCAAGTCATTAAGGTTTGGTGGCTGACGTTTGGCAACTCGAACTTTCAGCTCCCTCCACAGATTTTCAATCGGATTAGGGTCTGGAGACTGGCTAGGCCACTCCAGAACCCTAATGTGCTTCTTCTTGAGCCACTCCTATGTTGCCTTGGCCGTGTGTTTTGGGTCATTGTCATGCTGGAACACCCATTCACAACCCATTTTCAATGCCCTGGCTGAGGGAAGAAGGTTCTCACCCAAGATTTGATGGTACATTGCCTCCTTCATTGTCCCTTTGATGCGGTGCAGTTGTCCTGTCCCCTTAGCAGAAAAACACCCCCAAAGCAGAATGTTTCCACCACCATGTTTGACAGTTGGGATGGTGTTCTTAGGACAGGTGTCTTTTTATATAGGTAACAAAATGAGATTAGCAGAACTCCCTTTAAGAGACTGCTTCTAATCTTAGCTTGTTACCTATATGAAAGACACCTGGTAGACAGAAATACTGCTGAATGATAGGGGATCAAATACTTATTTCCCTCATGAACATGCAAATCAGTGCATCATTTGTTAGACATGCATTTCTTTTGAATTTTTTGTTGCTATTCTCAGTGTTACAATACAACTACCATTCGATTTTCAGACTGATAATTTCTTTGTGAGTGGGCAAACATTCAAAATCAGCAGGGGATCAAATACTTATTTCCTTCACTGTATGTTCTTTCGAGATACAAGTGCCAGCCACCCCCTGCGGATAACTGCACTCCTGGAACTGCATGAATGGTTTTGTTCTTCCTTTACTTAGCCTACTGTACTTCCTGGACAGTGATCATGGCATTCCTTGGAGCAGCCACATACCAGTAGGCTAGGGTTGCTTGGCTTATAAAAATGGGAAGTGCTACAGGTGACGCTGCACTAAGCTAATTTCCCTGACCAACTGTATAGAGGCAACTGTTGCAGTACAATTTAGTGATGTGTGTGATAAACAACATACAATGCCCAGTACATAATCAGTCCAGACAGTGAAAAGGTCTCACACATGTGGTATTGAAATACGTTGGAGGAAGAGTAGAATGTGTATTGGGTTGTAATTCTAAATATGCCAATGCAGTGTGTGAGAAATATCTTCTTAAATTGACAACTTTGTATAAAAAAAATAATTTAAATTTTCTTTCTGCCTTTTCAATAAACTTGTGGCAAAAAAACAAACTCTCACCATGCTTCTTAAAATACTTTGTCTTTGCTCTCCAAAATGTGGTCATTTTTTGTGAGTGTTTCCATTGTCCTGGTACTCCAAGGCCTCCAAAAATGTGATAGGTAGTCAGGAAATTAGGTGCATAATTTATACCCCTAGAAAGCCTGAAGATGCTCCTTGGATTTTGAGCCTATGTGGTTAGACTGTGAAAGAGTCTCACACATGTGGTATCGTCATACTTGGGATACTTGGAAGTGATGGCTTTAGAACATGTGGTTGTTTTGAGGGTGTTTACACTATCCTGGTGCTCCAGGACCTCCAAAAATGTCAAAGGTAGTCAGGAAATTAGATGTGTAATTTATGCCCCAGGAACGCCTGAAGGTGCTCTTTGGATTCTTGGCCCCTCTGTACATCTAGGGCAGTTGTAAAAAAGTCTTACACTTATGGTATTCCCATACTCAGCATAATGTGTTTTGGGGTGTTTCTGTAAGATTGCCTATGCAATTTCTATATAAAGTTATAAAACTGATGAACTATGAACCCTAAAAAATACCTGAATCAAATCCTTAATAGAATACTAAGGGCAAGATGGCTTTTTTCAAGAGAAAACAATTTTTGATGAACGATAACTAGTTAACCAGAGAGTCCTAGTGTACAATGACCAAGTAATAGCTAACCAAGATGACCACGGAGAAACCCTGAAAGCTCAGCTCTACAGAAACACCCATATTTATCAAGTCCAAACATTCAACTCCAGTTGTAAGATTGTTTAACAGTGCATGAAAAAAGGATAATGTGCTTTTTTAAAACCGTCACATTCCATCTTAGCAAATACAACTGTTTGCTGAAAGACCCGACAAGTATTTGTCAACCAGCCGCAAAACAATGGTCCCCTCAAAATGAATAGAAAAGACTATCTTCTATAAATCCTAAGTGTTTCTTCAGAGATGGAACCAGTCCACTCAGGTGTGGAACTACCAGTCAGTCATTATTAGGATGAAACAAAGTTTCAGGGAATGTAAAAAAAAAGACATTCAAGAGCTGTTATAAGATCAGTTTAGTAGCATCGAATGAACCCCAAAAAAAGAGGGGAGGAGCCTCTGTGTTCTGTGATGTACTAAAAAAATGGATTTTACAGGTGTGACAGATTGCCTGGCACCCCGAATAGGTGCCTCTGCCAAACAGTGCCTCCTTCCCTCCAAACCCTCTGAAGCAGACTGATAGCCAATACCAGCCCTTTACCCCAAGCATCATACATATACAAGATGTTGAGGTAAAATCAAAGGAATAATTTTACGGAGCAGAAATACAGGTTTTTATACAGTTCAAAAATAGGGGCAGTCACCACATGAACAATTAAAACTATTACATATTGGGGTAAACACCCCACAATGCTTAGGTAACAAGGTAAACCTTAGCCACTGATGCCTGATGGTGGATAGCCCAGGAAGTTCCCACACTTACTGCCTTAACCCTCTTGGGCATAGAGTTCACCAGAGCTTCACAGGTTGCCACTGGAGTCCTTTTCCACTCCTCCATGACAACATCACGGAGCTGGTGGACGTTAGAGACCTTGTGCTCCTTCACCGTCTGTCTCTAACGTCCACCAGATCCGTGATGTCGTCATGGAGGAGTGGAAGAGGACTCCAGTGGCAACCTGTGAAGCTCTGGTTAAGGCAGTGCTGGAAAATAATGGTGGCCACACAAAATATTGACACTTTGGGCCCAATTTGAAAATTTGCACTTAGGGGTGTACTCACTTTTGTTGCCAGCGGTTTAGACATTAATGGCTGTGTGTTGAGTAATTTTGAGGGGACAGCAAATTTACACTGTTACACAAGCTGTACACTCACTACTTTACATTGTAGCAAAGTGTCATTTCTTCAGTGTTGTCACATGAAAAGATATAATAACGACCGATGATGTACAGGAACCGCAAGCCTTCCGGCCTATTTCTCTTCTTAATGAAGACCTGAAGATATTGGGCAAGATCCTTAGTTTCCGCATTAATAAATATTTGCGTAGCCTGGTCCACAGGGACCAGGTAGGGTTCGTCCCCGGGAGGCAGGCGGGTGATAACGTTCGTAAGGTGGTCCATCTTATACATTTTCTGCAACAGCGGAAAATCCCGGGATTCTTACTGTCTTTAGACATATATAAAGCCTTTGATTCTCTATCCTGGGAATATCTGCGGTTTGTGCTGTCTCGTTGGGGTTTTGGGGATTCTATTCTTTCTTGGATTCAGGCCTTGTATTCTTCTCCTTCGGCCTCCGTCAAATACGCTGGGTATTTTTCAGATCCCTTTCCTATTGGGCGAGGGACGAGACAGGGTTGCCCCCTGTCCCCAGCGCTCTTTGTCCTGGCGCTTGAGCCGTTGGCTTTGGTGCTTCGGACCGATTGCAATGTATCGGGGGTTCCTTACGCGGGACAGGAATTCAAACTGAACCTTTTTGCGGATGATGCCCTCATGACTCTTACTAACCCCCTGACGATGCTTCCTAATTTGCAACAGGTTCTTGAGCGCTTCTCCTTGATTTCGGGTCTCCGTATCAACTTGGATAAGACTGTCGCCCTCAATATTACTTTGGCTTCAGATTTGGTTTCGCGCCTACAATCCCACTTCCCTTACAAATGGGCTTCCTCTTCTCTTGAATACTTAGGCATTCGCTTGACCCCCACTTATGACTCCTTGTTTGCTGCGAATTACTATCCATTGCTTAGCTCTCTATCC